CCATAGAATTCCACTATAATTTATCAAACTTAGTAACTAAACTGTATTTGGATCTAAAATAATATGAAAGTTTGAGTTCACTAAAGACTTATCTTACCAGTTTGAAATCTTGTATCAAAAGAACAAGATTGACACCCTAATACTTCTAAATGGCTGAGAATGCCACTAGAGGGACATTCTGAGCTCTCAGTTGGTTATTCACATGTTATTGACAGAAGTAGGTATACATAACGAAGTGTATCCAAAAATAGAAAGAGGTGGGTGGGGCCACTATGTTTGATTCGGTAAATGTAGTAATATCTCAGCAAATAGAAAAGATAGGATGTTCTTATTTTATATTCTAGCTTGTCAATATCAGTAATTTGAGTTCCTAATTCGTATGAAACTATAGACTTTGTATTTGGACATCACAAACATCTAATTTGAACCAGTGCTGCATTCAACCTGCCACATGACACACAAAAATTGATATATAAATTTTTTAATATTTACTTTTAAATTAAGAAATTAACTAATGTATGATACTAAAATTTGAATTATAATATACAATTTGATACCAATTTATAAACATGAATTTATAAAATAGTCATTCAATAAAATTTTAAATGCAAGTCAAGAAATTCGATGACATGGCCTTTTACCCGTGTTGATAGGGCTAACATGAAATTTGTAAATATATTAACTTTAAAAACAGATGATTCAGCAACTGATTTGAACCTTTAATCATTTCAGATTTCATCTTGTAGAACACTGGTTTTTACATTTGTAAACTAATCATAACAACAAAATATTTAGCATGATTTTTCTGTACAACAGTATCATTTCTCTTTTTCTTTTTCACTGAAAAAGTTTCATGGTTTTACTATGTTCTTTAAATTCATTAGCATTTAAAAATGTAATTTTTTTTTTAGTTATGTATTATATTATAATCTTAAATTATAGTGTGGAAAATTTTGGATAGAGTACTTTGACATCTAAACTTGAATTGTTATAGTGTTATAGTCTTTTTTTTTCTTACATAGTGTTTCAGCAGTTCTTCGTAATAACAGATTTCGTAGAGATGCCAGGCAGTTGGATGAGGATGAAGAAATGTGGTTTAATGAGGAGGATGAAATGGAGGATAATGAATCAATGAATGATTCCATGAGTAGAAAGCTGGATGCAGAATTTGATCAGATTGGGAAAATGCTAGATAAAAAAGGTAAGTCTCTATTCTAAAGTCTGCTACAGTGTCTGAATCAAGTTTATTTTGTACATAACTTGACATCAATGCTTAGATTTTAAATTACACATTTATACCATTGAAAACCAGCTTTCTTATATTAAAAAAACTGGCATAATTTTTAAGGCTATACTGATAAAAATTAGTTTAGGTATAAAAGAAAACAATCACAAGCTCAACACAACATATTTATAATACGCCAAACCTCAGAAAAGTTTTTTATAATGATTTAAGATGTATATTTATATAGTTTTTTACATTAAAATTTGCTGCTATTGTCTTTTAAAAGTTTCATTTTTCTTCTGGTATTTTTTGGTGTTTTTTTAACCAATTTCCACTTTTTTTAATCATAAAAAAAGATGATTTGGAAAAATTTCTGTCAGTTCCTTGAGAAAATTAGAATCCTTTTCTGTCCAATTTGCTATTACATCAATTTTATGTTACTATAGTTGTTTAGTGTTTGTCTTTCAGTTGTTGTAAACTGTGCTTGTAGTTCAAGGACTGGGGGAAAGTCACTTAATTACCAGAAATGACCAAGTGTCCTATCAACATATTAGTGAAGTACCCCTTGGGATATTTCAGTCTAAAGGTTCTCTGGTGGTGGAAAACGACATCAGAGGCAAAATAATTTGGATGCTGTCTGAGTATCCAGTATACAGAGTAGAAATACATCAAAGAAAATTAAGATTATAATGAAATATAAATTATATTACTAATTACAAAGGAAAACTTTTAATCTTTGCATGCCCGTGAACTTAGTTTCGAACTTTCACTGAGTCAGTTAACATATAGGATTTGTATTCTATGGAGTATTTTACATATTGAATTGATTTTACAATACTATCATAGAGTCAAAGGATTACATCTAGTACTAAGATGTAGTTCAATGTAACATAGAATTATTTTAATGTACCAGTCACCACTGTCCTAACATCTAGTACTTAACCCTACCGCCCCAGGTATCCTTTACTGTGCAAGACACAAGATTTTAGTGTCTTACATTTAAAATTTTATTAAACTACTTTTTGTTTATGTTATACCAATTAGAATAGCATAAAATCATAAGTTAATAACCCATGTTTTAATAGTATACAAGTTTTAAGCTCTTAATTCTACATGGCAATATTAAAAAGAATTCTGAATTTCCAATAGTGTGACCCATGTGATACATTTTCTCTTTGCACATCCTCATCCCCTTTTCTTTTATCCACCACCCCTTGAAAAAGTATGAAATTCAACGTAAATTATTTTCTATAAAATCATTATAGCTTAGACAAATCTTAATTTTTATAGCCTTTAATCTTGTTTGGCTACAGAGCTATCCAATAGAAAATCAGACCCCTCCTGCCACACCCACCCATCACATCCTTTCTTTCACAATTCATTGATAGTTTTCTCTTACGTTTCAATTTATATTACCTATAGCCAATAGAAAGTCAAGGTTTTCATCTATCAAATGATGTATCATACAAAGTTATGTTCTGAACAGTTAAATGTCATTTTCACTCAGAATACAAACATTATTCCCATTGGAAAGTTATTGACTAGCTTGGATGAATTTGTAACAGCTCTTGTTGCATATTTAGAAAGCCAGGAAAATTTTGAGAAGTAAGTGAATTTGTCTACTTTTTGCATGTTATTAATCTATAATCTTTGGTGCATTATTTAATTAAATAAAAATTATAAAGTGCATTACTATGTATAGTATAAACAATTAGAGTTAACTTTCTTTGAAACCCGACAGCAAAAGAAAAAAAAAAGATTGGTTATGTATTTTATTTCTTGTTTTTCATATTTATTCTTTATGTAAGTAACTAAAATATGAAAGACAAAAAAAAAGAAAAGCAAGAAAAAAATAAGATTGGTTAAACCTTTAATTCTACAATGTATTAAGTATGAACAATGCATTTTTTTTGTATGATATGTATTATTGTATTCAAGTAATTGATTGATCCTAAACATTGTTTTAAGCAACAGTATGTATAAGATTTTTATACTGTTACAAAGACCAAGGTTTTTGATTATTCAATTTATGTAAAAGCTTAAATCTTTGACTGTTAATTCTGTATTCATCATAATAATTTCTATATGGTAATAACTTTAATACTAGATATCAGTTATTGTTACAATTGGCACCTAGACACCTGTTTTAAAGCACTGTTCCACAGATAAATGAATTTGTATTGTTCTATACATTGTTGTCACATGAAGGCTTCAGTAAGAGGCCAAAAGCTTGAAAGTAGAAGAAAAGTATTTTAACATAAAGAACAGTCCATGTATAATTCTACAAAATAACTTCATGTTAAATATTATCCTGGGTAAAGTTTTTATTCTGCTAAATAATTGACAGATTAATGTAGCAAGCATATGTAAAGCTTGCAGGTTCCTGTGGATTCCATCTTCATTTGAGTCATCCATGAGGTTAGTACAAAACCACTGAGATCAGGCAAAAAGCATGCTTCTTTGCTTCACTTATGCACACCATTTGTGACACATACAAGTCAGAACTCTCTATGACTGAGGCTGAGCTGCCCTTACCTCTTAATGTCTTTAGATTAGCATAGTGTACTTCACACACTGGCAGACTATGAGATGTAATTGAAAGTCTGTTGGTAGTGCGACAAATAGCAGCTTTATACTTGTAACAGAAGAATTAGCATTGTACTTGCAGGAAAATTCTGCAGTGATAACTGGTTATTGAAATCAATATTAAAGATAAAAAGTATTTTTTATCTTATTTTGCTTGTATCATTATTAGATCTTGCAATTCATATAAAATGACTTTAGTACAAAGGAAAATCTTGTTAAAAAGCACTTTTATAATACCTTAATAGGTGAGCTTAAAAGAAGGTATCATAACGTACAGTAGAATTAGTTTTAAATTAATCTTCTTAAACCCGAGTGGATGCTGGTAGCATCTGGCCAGAAATTCCGATTTACCTATTGGACAGTGTCCAACAATATTTATGTCTCTTTAGCTGAAAACTAATCCAAACTTTGTTAATATCCACTATTTATAGATAGATGGGAAATTTTATAAGGTATGGTGATAATTATTAGGACATCATGAAAATAATTTTGGCAGAATGAGCAAGAAGTTATGGGTTTAAAGAGTTAATTTATACTATGGCAGAATTACATTTTACAACTATGCTTTTAAATTTGATAATACAGTTTTACTGCTGTCATGTGGTGAAACATTGAACTATTTAATCAATCGGAAACTACCTGGTATAAATAATATGATGAAATAACATGTAAAACTAACCTAAAGACAGATTCAATTGACAGTTACCAGTATGTAAAACAAAGCTATCAACCACAGCTTCCAAAGAGCGGGAAACTGTAATAAAACAAATTTTACACTCGCCTTGGTTTGTTACGCTAGTTCATTAAATGATGGACCACAACTGATGTGTCAAGGTAGGGGAGAGGTGGTTGTATCTTTAACACTTTTATTTTTGTATAATGTCAGAATATTATATTTTATTCACAGAAAAACAATTAAGTAAAATGAAAATATGTTTAGGTATTTTTCTTATGGCAGCTGTTTTTGTAGTTGTAACTGGTATTATTTCATTGATCCAATCAGAGTAGATTCAAGGATAAAATAAGGGGGTAGGGATGGCATTACATTTGACAGCCCCAAAACCTCATATTTTCTTGATTTTAATATAACAAATATATTTTTATATCTTTGAAACTTTGGTGAAACAAATAACATGCTGTAGTATCTTGAATTCTGTGTAATATTTTTTGTTCTTAAAAAAATCATATGTTGTTTCAACAATTCATATGAAAACATATAGAAGTATAAATAAATGTAAATATAAGGCCTTTGATAATATGTTTATAAGGCTCTTAAGTCAATTTATTATTTTATGGTTATTTTGTTTCTTCATTCTGTGTCTGCAACTCGTCAAATGTGAAATAAGTTTTACATGATTAGTTGATAACAATACTTATTGCCTGCAGGTAGAGAGACAGAAGAAAAGGAAAACTTAAGGGCAGTGCCAAACAAGCCAGGATCTCCCATTCTCAACATTCGTAAAGTTAACAGCCCCACTTCAAACTCTGCCCAGCCTCTTAGCCCCACAGTTGAAGTTAAGTCACCAACTCTAACAAGAAAAGTAAGCTTTGTCCTCGTTTGGAGATAATAAAAACAAAATGTTTATATAAGTAAAAACAATGAAAGTTCTGGCACTTTCTGTGTCTTTGTGAATTACCCAAACAATCAGTCGAAACATCATTTGCTTTAGTATTTGCGGAATTTTTTTCCCACAGTCTTGACATTGGAAGGTTATAACTGCATAATGGTAGAGTAATATGACCTCTAAACCAGGTTAAAAATCTAAGATCAAGATATGTAAAAAAAATTAAATCCATCTTTTACTATGGTATCATACACTGGTTTTGTGTGTATATGAAAAGGCTGAAAGAACTTTTTATTAACCCATGGAAACAAGAAGGTTAAAGTTCGCATGTTACAAGGTATTTACAGCTACTTTCAAAATTTAAGTTTAACTGATAATTTTATCAATGCAGATTAATATATTTGGCATAATTTTAATTGTTTTTTTTTTTATTGTTTGAGTTTTAATTTGGTTACATTCACAATTTAATTATAATTTTATCAATGCAAAATAATAAACTTGTCATCAAAATATAGTTTATAATTCAAATTTTTAGAGTATTAGAATATTACTTCATTTCAAAAAGAAATATTTAAATTCTTAATCTGCACCACTGAATCACATGATGTTGTGGTGCTCCGACTTCTCATTTATAGATTTTTTCTCTTTCCTTGTTAGTACTTCAGGTTGGTCAACCAGTTAGATATAGATAGATTCTATAAATATTTGCTAGCCAGAGTATAAAATTTCAACCTGTTATCTTTTTGCTTTACTGAAATATCAGTATATTTATTCAACTCACATGACATACCCCTCTTTTGTAGCTCTAAATATAAAAGCTGGTATGAGAAAATTGATAATGGATTTTATTTTCTGGGTGACTTTTTTAGTTCTAAAAGTTGATAAATGTTTTTGAAGTACTGGGTTGATTTGTAATTGTGGCAGAATGTGAAACTTTGTGGAAGAAACTGGTGTATTTGTAATTTTGTTTTTCAGAATTTTTTAACATGTCATTGCTTGTGTAAATTTTACAGAATTTGTTTATCTCTGATGTACAGAATGTGGATTAGAGAAATGTAAGTACGTTTATGTTTTTGATTTTATTTTGTTTTTAACCATTTTTGTATATAGGTTGGGTTAGTGGACTATCCAGATGAAGACTCGGATGACGAAGAGGAAGAAGATGACGACTCTTCTGGAGTTCCCGTTTCTAAACGACCAAGACTAAATACATAGCACAATGAGTGGTGTTTTAGAGGTTTTAATATTTTAGTATTCATCTCTGCATGTCTGGTTGCTCCCCATAGGCAGAATACAATGTGCATATCACTAATGTATTTGTATGCACTGATTTGTTGGCCATAGAAATATGAATTTAAAGAACTAGCTGTACAGTTTATACTGTTCAGGGCCAGATCAGTAAGTAGTGTACTGTCATTAACCTTTCCTTTTTCTGTTCTACACATGGGAACTATTAAGTAATGGACACAAAAATCTTGCAACTGTGTAGAATAAGGAATTGCTGTGTAGACAGTACAGTCAACAGTATTACCTTCTCTGCACACCTCAAGAGGCAGCATTATAATCAAGGTATTAGTTTTTGAAAATGGAACAGTTGACAGAAAAATGACGCAATTGTGGTTTACATACCTACCTTGCCAGTGTCCATACGTCGACATTCAATGATTGCTTGGTTTCTGACATAAGATTCCATCTCCCGAGTTTCTTGATGCTAAATCAGTTCAGAATTTATGTAAGAGTAAGAAGAAATATAATAATGCTGTAATGCCAGTTGGATGACAAAACCTTGTAAATTCTTTCTTGTAATTTGTTATTTTATATTTCAGCTCATTTGATTTTTTACTGCCACAAGCAAATTGGATTAAAAGCTAATGATAACTCTTGTGTTAAAAAGTATATGAAATGTAGTTAGAGAGACAAATGCTGATAAGATGAGTTGTTTGTGAAACAGCTAATATTGGCCATTAATATGTAAGTTTTTTGGGTCAGTCAACTGAAAAAGTTTTTGTATGGTTATGAACTTTCAACTTTCAGCCTTCACATAAAATATTTTTAACTCACTGACTTGAAAATTAAATGTTGATATGACAAGTTGGCAAAGAATTTTCTGTAAGATCCTTGATGGATAATAGTTGTTGTTTTTATGTATATATCTGTATGTGTATATGGTCTGTATGGTAACCACTGTTCACTGATGCCTTTTGTCCTGGCAGTCATAAATACATTTTAGTAAAAGAAAAATTAAAAGAAAGCCTCATCTTGAAAAAACTGGAAGAAAAAATATTTTTATACACTATTCCTCCCTATACCTCAGCATATGAAGTCATTTGTAGTATTCATTATATCATTGCTTCAGGTAATGTACCATGGATAGAGAAAAATTAAAAACCAAAAAAAATAATTCACAGTTAATGACTTTTATATATGAAGAGGATAAAACTCATCCATCTATTTAAACATGTGTTGGGTTAGGTGTGAAAACTTTTATTGTTTGAGCTTGTGTCAGATTTTGTAAAATGTCATTTTAAAGGAAGAAAAGAACTTTCTTTGGTAGCCCTCACCTTAGAATGCATGTCATCAGCAGTAGATTTAATGCATATGTAGAATATTCATGGTGGTGTTCTTTTTACCAAAGTAATTAAAAAAAAAAGAAACTCCAGGAAATATTGTTTGTAATTTATTTAATTATAACATTACACATATGAACTATTTAAATATTAATTCTGGATTCTGTAATATTTTTTCCTAATTTCTACAGGAAATTTATAACAAGCATGACAGCATATAAAATTATAAAAGCTTTGATTGTGTGTGAAAATAGAAATATTTCAATTTAATAACTTGCATGATTAATTTTAAGCAAAAATATCAAGATCCAGTTTCATTTACCCAAAAATGGTAGATACCTTTCATGCATTTAACATCACTATTTATGGATACTTCTTGATGTACACCCTAAAATATTTGAGGAAACAAAACTACACCCAATATGACAAACTACCTTATTTATCAATTGGAGAAGAATGAATTATGATCAGAAGTAATTTAAAGAACACATTAACACTTCTGGGGAAAATGTTGTTTAATCTGTGGACGGATAAACTTTTATCACATTAAAGCAATGTAATACGATATCAAGGAAAATACTGTGACTGACAAATTTCTATCATTTGGTGTTATTTAAGTATAAATACATTAATGTAGAGGATCAGTGTGACTGAAAGGAAAATAGTGAAGTTAATCTTATGTAATGCTATTTACTAGATGATGTTCTCATTAAAAAAGTATGAAATACATCTAGAAACAAAGCTATAATGAGAAGTGTGAACTCTGTTACAATTATATGAAACTGAAAAAGAAAGCAATCTGAAAAATTAAACCAGTTTACAATTATTATCTGATTGCCAATATCTTAATTACTTTTGTAATATCACACTTTTGCATCAAATAATGTACAACTGTGTTTGGAACATATGAAGAGATATAACCATTTTAAAAACTACATTTTAACCCGATAGATATCTTAAAATGTCATAAGTACTATTTGTAAAGAACTAACAAAAATATTATATTTGACATAAACATATTAAGCTTTATACGTTATATACTAAAGTATCAACTAAAAAATAGATAGACTAGGTTTTTGGAGAAACTTTGAAAAATGAAAAGTAATATCATTAAATTCAACATTATTTTTCACATATTGAGATGTCTAAAACAAAAGTGCCTTGAATTCTTTAAAAGCACTCTACCAAGAGTGTCCCAAGCTTAGTGATTAAAGGGAAAGAATTAGCTAAAGCTATTACAGCAAAGAATGTTCTCCAGAGTACTAGTAACCTAGAAAATTCAAATTTTATTTTAAGCTTTAACCTGGGCCTTTTGTCTCTCTGAAATAGAAGAAAATAAAAGGATACTAAGAAAGATGTTCCAACAACATTTTTTTTTGGTCAATGGAATTGCATTTAATAATAATTTATAAAATTATTTTTTTAAAATATTTTAAAAATTGCCACCTGGTACCAGTACAATACAAACCAAAAACGGAATGCAATAAACTATATATATAGACACACACACACGTATACTAAATGTATATTTTAATGACGAAATTTACTACTATATGCAAGGCATCTCAACCATGTCAGTAAAATCTGAAATTTTTTACTGTTACTCAAGTTCCTACCACAAGATTATAGGCTTTCAAGAGAAGCTTTTTTTTTTTCAATAAATCCACATACCAAACTGTTTAATTTATTACATGATTAATGTTATAAATGCTAGTTTTGTCAAGGCCTAAAAATGTGATGTTTATGATATTAGTGTGCAGTTTGTTTGTTTTTCTAGCACGGGGTCCTTTAAATTTCAAACTAGTCTGATAAAAATATTTCAGATCAGTCTAATGCCTATCAAACTGTTCAAAGGGCATCCTTAGTATCAAAGCTCATTAGATAGATTGAAATGCAGTAGTCAAAAGTGTATTTGCAGAACTATTGCATTCTATTCTTACAACTCACTATTATCTTAAATGTGAAATGCTTTGGCAATAAATCTCTTTTTAGACCTAAACAAAAATGAAGAAATATGAATTGGTAGTGTGGCTTGAAATAACAATGTTAAAATTCTTTATGAGAAGTGACAATTATTTTAAGGAATACCTTTCTCTTCATTTCGATTTAACTATGCAGCAATAGACTTGTCTTAATGTTTAAGTCTGTCTAGGGATGGTTGGATTTGGAAAAATGTTTTGGCACAATTATGTTTTTTATGCTTCAGTGTTTTTACTTTACTGTTATCTTTCTTAAATCTTAGTATTCTGTTTTATTCATATGTATAGGTGGTCAGTTTAGCAGCTTGTGTAGTAATTTGGTGATAAATCTACCTCACAGTCAGTCAATCTTTTCAAAAACAATAGGTTTGTGGTTCTAATATACAGAATGATAGATTTAGAAATTTGTTACAGATGAGATTAAACAAGTGTTGAAGTATGAACAAGATAAACTAGAAGTACTGGGTGACAGGAAGCTAATGAACTAGTAGTCAGACTGTTATACTGTACAGTAGAGGTTGAATTTAGATAGACGTGATCAGCAGGATCAAGAACACTATATAAGGAAAGACAGAACTTTAACAACTAATGTTGTTTTTCTCAGACAAACTATCATGCTCTACATACTTGCAGAAATGTGGCCAGTAAAACCAATGTCTATATTAATTACAGCAAGTCTATACAAGGAAGGTAAAAATTTCTATAAAAAAAGAGCTAACTTATTTTCATTATTTTACTTTTGTTATGAGCTTATATATAATCATTAATTCCCATATTATCTTCACTAATGATTATAATCAATGCATAATGTGTGTTCTAACATTACAGGATTATACTCACAGACTATTAAGAAAAAACTGAATGCTAATTTATTTTGAAACAAACTGCTGTGGAGATTTTTTCATAGTAATTATCATTACAATGAGCATGAATAATCTAGCAAGGTGCTGTACCAATGTACTTATATATGAAAAATTAAATGTTTATAGCAGTGAGGATGCAATAGTGTTCTGCTAATTATAGAGAATTTTATTAATAACTATTAAATACTGTAAACGTTAGCTTATTTCTAGTTGTAACTGTAAACTGGTCTTAGTTTATATAAACAACCTTCAGGAGAGAGCAAACAGTGAATACCCGGACTGAGTGAAAGTGGTTACCATTTGGCATGAAAGCAAACAATACAGGCTTAGTATTACTTACAAAAGAATGACTGAACATCAACAAATAGAATTAAGAATACATATTTTACACTAACATGTTTACAACATGAACCCCTAAACGGTACATCTTATAACTGAAAAAATACTTTCTTTGTTACAAATTAACTTTTTCAAACATTACATGAAATTAAATTCCTTTATTTAAGAACCGAAGAAACAGTTAGCTTAACTTAGTTAGATTAACTTACCTTGATACAAACGTAGTAATTCAAGGATATACCTCCACACAGTTACCTGATCTCCAACAAATGAGAGGTTCATGCACTTAATATGTGGAAGGAAAAGTGTAGTAATTTGTTGCAAGTGGATAGAAACAGACAAGACATGGTGTTGAAGTCTGATGGTTGGGTAATTGTGCATTATGATAAGGTCAGGAGAAGAAAGGTATAATAAATTGTATTTAAAGATTAATGTAAAATTAACTCACAAGATCAACAGAAGGGACAAATAAAATATCAAGACACAAAACTCCACCAGCAAGTCTTGGCTCCTTCAGGACAGAAATAAGTCTTCTCTCCTCGAAGATCACAATGAATCTTTCTCAAAAAGTAATGAAACTTGCAACCACTAAGCTTATTCACTCTGCAGCTTATCATTCAGAAACAAGGCAATGAAATGCAGAAATATCTCTGTTACGTGTGATAGTTACAAAGGTACCCCCCCAACTCAAAATTAAGGAGGACACTGCAACTATCCCATGAAGCATCATTACAGTTCCGTGACTGGTCAAGCTTAAAAAGTAACATGTCAGGCTCAATTTTGCCTGTGATCTAAATTGGGTTTAACATGTTCTGAAATTAGAACTTAGTAGTATGTAGTTTCTAGTATATGTTCAACTGATAAGTTCACTGCTTTTTAAAAATTTCCCAAAATATGGAATATTTTTTAAACAGTTTCAGTTATACAAAAATGGATATTTCACCACTGATGCTCTTACCTATTACTTCAGTCTTCAGGCAAGCAGCTAGAGATTTTCGAAAAGCCAGTGTTTCTGGGTCTATTGTAAAAGATTGAAGCTCCTGTTTCACGATGCTACGAGCTGCTCTCGAAGATTTTGGACGTTTATTAGGAGATATTTTCTCGTAGTCACTAAGACGCTTTTCTCGCTCCTGACGCTTTAAAGCTAGCAAGCGATCTCTCTGTTTTCGAAGATACTCCTGTCTTGTTTTTACATCCTGTGAATAAACCGAAAGAAAAAATTATAACAAAATTCTCTCACAACATTAGTATTTTAGTGAAAATAGTTTGCTTTAAATTTTACAAATAACATAGGTATGTATGAAAAATCCTGACCACATTAGACAACTATGTTTCTCAAATAAAATCAATGCAGTAATCAGCAAAACTACATTAGATGCCCAAAATGCTTTACATAAACAAATTTACAACTCAACAGATAATAATCCTAACAATTCCCTGTTACAATTAATAAATTTCCTCTATGAACTATAACAAGTATGTTTGTTTCAGAATTTCATGTTAAGCTGCAGAAAGCTATCTACATGTATCCTTAATTTTGCAATGATAGACTAAAGAGAAGGCTGCTAGTAAACAGCACTCTCCATCAACACTTGTCTAAATGAATATTAGGATTTGAACATCACACTTATAGTTCATCCACAGCCCAAAAATGTAAAATGCATTTTTGCATTAATGGTCACAAAACATTCTCAAATTTACAACTTGGGCAAACTAACCATTGAACCATCCATACTACAGGAAATAAATGCAGTAAAATCAAAAAGTACTCTTATAAAAGATTTAACAGACAGTTAGAGTAATAATAACAAAGTATTCTTGCATAAGAAGTAAAAACCAGAAGCTGCCATAAAATAAGAAAGTACTCGGAACTAATCCTTTTCAGCCTAGTGGCTTCATTTTTGCCACCCTGCATTTGCATTCATAAAGAACTTAATGACTCAAAAATGAAACTATTTGAAACACACACAATTATGGTTTTCTTAGATTTATCACCTTGGAATTGTAAAACAAAAAAATTTATTGATCGAATTTTACAGGTTTTAACACCACCAATTTAAATACAGACCACATATTTGAACATTTCAGATACAGTACACCTTAAACAAACTAAACTGTAACACTTAATAATAAACTGAAAGAGATTTACACTTAACATCTTATGTTCAACTATTCTAGAATTTTATTCTTTGCAATAATTTATTTTTTTACAAGTTCATAAGCATCAAAGTAATATATGAAATTTATTACCAATATCTAGTCTCAATGAACTAAACAGATTATATTTAATGTATATTAATACTGTATCTCCACTTACCTCAGCATAAGATGATTTATCCTGATGTATAATTGAAGGTTGAGTTCTACCACTGGTACTACCGATTCCATTCGAAGTATTTTTGTCACACTGTAACATTTTCACAGTATGTATAGACAAACAGTTTCATCTAAATAAATATTCCTCTACATAGAAACACATTTAAACTATTACCATCTGTTGGCAATAACAGAATAAAATGATTTCTACCTAGGTTAATGATGTATGGATAATTGCAGTAATATAGTAAAAAAACTTGTAAAAAATTATTGAACTAAGAATGAAAAACATTTGAAACAGTAAGTTGTATCAATACTACGGCTTTGAAACAGCATGTATCATCTCCAAAATTTGGTGAATAAAATTTATAGTTCTCAGTAATATTTCCAGTGAAATTTTATTCTCCTAGGACAACTAGTATTATAATCATTTTAAGTATTGGATTTTCTTTATAATCACTTTGAATAAAAACCTTATACATACAATGACTGTCCATTTTACTAAGACCTACAAACAGAAAATTACATCATTACAGTGGTGAAAGCAATTTTCAACTTTTTCCTAAAGATAAGTCAAACTGAATCCCAGTAATTGTGATGGCCCCAGAAAATAACTTCAGTCACTACCATATGTACTCTTCAAATTAATACATATTTGGTAGTGGATGGATACATTATTGTATTGGAAGAGAGAATTTTATTTACGTTTCTAAACTAAAAATAAAATGCATTTCCTAAATACTTAACTACCCAGACAAACAGGCTATACTGATAAGTATCACTATTTACCTCTGCCAGAGAAGATTTCTCTTGATGTATTACTGGAGGTTCAACAATAGCATAAACAGTTCTGTTCCTATTAGTAGAATCCACATCACTAAGTGACAACTTAATAGCCTATAAAAAAAGAACTCCGCCTATATAAATAATTCTTTATTGTACATATTCTAATTAAAAGAAAAAACAAGCTAATACAACCAGACAGTCATGAGATCTTCAACTGGTATCATGTGTCACAATAACAAGTATGTCATTTAGGATAAGAATAGCAAAAAAAAGTCTTCAAGTCATAATGTATGCAAAGTAATAGTTTGTTTGTTTGTAGTTATGCACAAAAGCTATGCAATGGGCTATCTGTGCTCTGCCCACCACGGGTATCGAAACCCGGTTTCTAGCGTTGTAAGTCTGCAGACGTGCCACTGGGGGGCCAAAGTAATAGTTTTTACGTTGTATAACACTTATGGATAGTTTGTGTGTAGATTGATCAGAAGAAAGTTCTCATCACAATTTAAAATAAAGCATTTAATATTTTTAAAGAAAATTATAATTGGTAATTAATCATCTTCCATTCAGACCAGCTGATTTCCAACTAAGGTACTGTTAACTAGTTGGTTTACAAATCAACTTCAAGCTGACAAATTTGGATATATTTACCAAGTGGTTCCAAAATGGATTTTATTTCAAACATATCTCACTAGTAGAAGATTGTGCATTGAGTGATTAAACGTTTCTATATACAGGGTGGTGCAAAAGTTGAGCCCCATAGGGATTCTGAAGAACAATAAAAAAAATTACTTTTTTGTTTATTAAAGTAAACATCTGAATTGCGGGCTATGAACTTCAAAGAACATATTGATTCTATATACAGGGTGGTGCAAAAATTGAGCGCCATTAAAGAACAATAAGAAAAAATTACTTTTTTGTTTATTAAAGTAAATATTTGAATTGCGGGCTATGAACTTCGAAGCATGTGTTGATTCTATATACAGGGTGGTGCAAAAATTGAGCGCCATTAAAGAACAATAAGAAAAAATTACTTTTTTGTTTATTAAAGTAAACATTTGAATTGCTGGTTATGAACTTCGAAGCACGTATGGATTCCAAGTTAATGACAACTTGAACATTTCTTTTAATAAACAAGCAAGTAGGTACTTTTTTTATTGCTTTTAAAATCCCTCTGGGATGCAACTTTTGTGTAACCTGTATATATATATATATATCTTTGTGTAGTAGTTAAAACTCAGCTAAGACCCTCTCCATATGGTTCAAATATGTTTTTGATTCATATACACCAGCAAAAATCTAAAACAAGAATTAACTTTTACATGGATTACAAATACTACATATCTCACTCTCTCATAGTTCACATTTACATGATCTTAAAAATTTTCTATAGTTCCAATTCAGAAAATGGTGAATCTGGTAAACGTTGCATGTCAATTTAGCTATAGGTACTGCTTTCTATAGGAAGATCCAGTCATGGAAACTACTGTTTCATGGGATAACTGAACCATGTCCTACTTCACCTTGCATATGTAGGATTGCTCAACAACTGTCATATTGAGCAGATATTCTGAATGCTCGTGATCCAATTTTCTGATTGGTCTGTTACACAGAGACCATGGAATGTGAGAGCAGTTACGGTGCTCTCATTGGATTCAGTTCAGACTTGGAAGAGCCAAGATCTACCTGTAAAATGTTAGCCCTGCTTGCATGTGTGCAATCTTTCTTTTTCGTTTAACTACCAAATAATTTTCTGTAAGAAATGTATGAAAATCCTGTTTTGATACTGAAGACTAACTTAGCTAATTTTTTTTTAGTCTGTTTAATTCAAGTTTTAGGTGTAAAAAAAAGCAAACTGTATACCAAATCAAGCAGTTCTTTCTCCTTCCCCATTTCTTTTTCAAGACGAGATTTATCCAACATAGTTTCTCTAATAGCTTGTTCAAGGTCCTTAGTTTCTTGGTCTTCTTTTTCCTTTTCTTTTTTATATTCTTCTAAAGATTTCCTTTTTTGAGAACATAATACACTACGTTATCAAAGTAACCATCATATGCTAATATTTGATACGTGTTGTTGCTTCTACATTTTTTAAAAATAAATGCATGTATATAATAGATAGTGCGGTTCAAAATAATATTTATATTAAAAAAAAAGAATAACATATTTTGAATTTAAGATTTTTCTGTGTTGAGACACTACCAATTACGACATATAAATTTTTATTTGTGCTGGAAGTTCTAAATTATTATTTGAAATACATCCAATGCTTTTATAAAGAATAAACATATATTACTTTATGGTCTGGAGTTTAGAAATTATGAACTTAAAACAAAAACTAATACATTTATGTCATAATTTATTGCCTTGTTATTTCAGTTTAACATATAAAATAATTTTATACCTTATAAATTTGGTATAAAAAGTATAAAATATTAAATTAAAAAGTTTACAAAATGCATTAATGAATTCAGTAACTATGTGGTATTTTCATCTTGAACTTACTTCTCTTAGAGTGACAAAATATTCTGCAGAATAACAGGAGATTGGATGATATAGTTATTGCAAAGTAGTTCTGAGTCCCCTGGTTAACTAAGTTTGTGAAGATGAAATTAGAAGACTGGATGCAATTTTACAGATATACACTGAACAATCTTTAATTGAAACACACGGTGTGCATTTATTTGGTTTGGATGCTGGACAGGATCTGAGCTGTTCTGTTCTTACTCCAGACTGATTAAACATTATGTTACATAGGTAAATAAGTAACATCAGGCTTACCCAGAGCAACTAGCACAACCTACATGACTGGTCATTCTCATTCAAGCATAACTGAAACTGTAACCTCGAGACATCACCTGACTTATCATTGGAAGACATTGATGTCAAAATCCATGCACAAGATGCATTCTTACAGTCATACCTTCCATGGGCAGACCAGGTGTTATCTCAAGGAAAGGACAAAAAACAAGGTAGCAAGAACAAAAGTAAAAGTGAATTTCTTGGACATGTTTTATGTGAAAAAATGCACATATCCTAAAATAACAAATTTTTTAATAATTATACACTAAAATAAGAAATTTGAGAATGCATGGTATGCTTATATATCACAAATACAACTTTAACAATATTACAATGGTTTGCACATCTAATTATTATAAACAATCTACCAAGTTATATGTTGAGATGTCTTTAATTCAGAAACTACCAACCATGATGGAATTCAAAAGATTTTATACTCACTAATTCTCATACTGTGATATAGTTGTGATTTTCAACTACGATAACCAAACATATTTATCAACTTTACATTAGATATATAGTACAAATAAATGAAAATCTATGCAACTATTACATTAAAATCAACTTAAAATAATATATGGCATTATCTTGAAAATGCTTAAGGTTTTTGTGCATTGGCTTAGAAGAGTCACAGGTTTTTATTTCTTTATTGATAAAATATCTTATTACTCACTTCATTACTTCTTCCATGATCTCTTCCTCATCCGTGGTAGAAGGAATATTTTCTGAATCTTCAAGATTGATTCCATAGTGCTGACCTAGTAATTCTAGAGCCTGGAGCTGCAGTTCAATATTCTTTTGGATCATCATTCGTTTAAAAATTTCATAATCATCGGCTGCCCAAACTTGTTCAAACAGACTCTAAAGCAACAAGTGGTACCACATTAATTATTGCAATCATATATAGGTACACACATGCAATTAAAACACATCCTTATACAAACACTCACAGTTGTCCTTTCACATTTTAACTTCTAACACTTTAACTGACACACTTAAAAAGAAAGATAAAGGGCTTTTCAAAATCATGTTACATGGAAGTGGCTCATTTTGCACTTCCACTACATTTAGATATTGAACAATCAACTGCAGCAGATAAAATAGCTTATAAAATAAATTAGTTAGTATAATGATGTAATAGCTTTGAAACAAACAAATTAAAAACTATTTAGTATGTTTGCCAATGAAAGGAATGATAAAAAATAGTGGATATTTTTAGACAGTGTGTGACTTTTTGGTAGGTTCTATTTTATTTGTTCAAAATATTCATGCGATAGAGTGTAAGAAATTAAGGGGATAATCATATATATTACTTTGTAATGTGTTATGAATGTTTGAAATTTCTGAGTGAAGACAGAAGTAGTCAGAACAGATATTATAAGCTCAGTTTAAAAGATTTAGAACAAGGTTATGTTTCAAGGAGT